ACCAGCCTGCATATCTGACCTTCACAGAAGCCGCACACATGACCCAGCTTCAACTGTGCATGCAGCTAAGGACAGGGCATCAGCACCACACCTCCTGTTCCCCATCCCCCCACCCCTACTGTCTCCATACAGAGCAGTCAGCCTCAAGGGTCTTCAGTAGGACTCCTGACTAGTGACCTCCCAGTGATCCCTTATATCTGTCTCCTGCACTGCTTGCAGATCCACATGGAGGTGAGATGGGGTGAGCAAGGATCAGAAAGTCATCTGTCCCCATTCTCACTTGTCTGGAAGCCCAGCTCCCCGGTCACCAGCAAGGCCAGCAGAAGCAGGGTCCCCTTCATGGTGAAGAGTGCTAAATGTTCTTCTCAGAGCAGATCCTGCTGCCTTATAATCTGCTGTTTCCCTGAGCCAGTCCCTCCCACCCCTTCCCACCCAACCCCAATCCTGCCTCCCAGGAGTTCCAAATGCCTTTGGCAAGAGTCTGGCACCTGTGGATTCCTGTACCACTTGAATGGGGGAGTGAGCTTAGGAGCCCCTCCCACTCTGAAGAACAAATGCCGGGAGACATCCATATGTCATCAGTTTCTGGACAGAAGAGGTTGTAGCTTTGCCAGAACACATTAGGACTGACCTTTCTAAGCCGTCACTTGCTGAGCCAAGTGCCCTGTGTCCTCCCCCAGTAGCCCTCTGTTTCGTGTCACACTCCTCCTCAGATCTCCTGGATGCATGGATGTCCTCTTCAGTTTGCAGATGGGAAGCACAGAGGTCAATGAGGGTTTCCTTCACTGTTTCAACAGCCCACAACACTGCTTTTGCCTGAGATCAAAACCTTAGTAGAAGTGTGCATATCTTGGGGCCATACTGTGTTTCTTGGACATCTTAGATGCTGTAGACTTTGGACTACACCTCTCAGGACAAAGGGCACCATCTGGGGCTTTTATTGACTAACCTGGCACCCAGCTTATTCTCAGCATGTTATGTAATGTGGGTATTCTTGGGTCTGGTGGTGTTTTTGTCCCATCAACTGAAACATGCTGCAATTTCCCCCTCACTGGCACGGTAGCTCATTCCTGTTTTTCTGCTCTTGTCTTTCTCACCTCTCCCAGGAAGCAGATCTCTAACAGTTCAAAGAGTAGAGTTCATGTCCACCTGATTCTTCCCTGTTCCATGAACTCTCCTCTGTCCACAGTCTCAAGTTCAAATCAACTTATTTCCCTCAGATGTCTGCGGACAAATGAGATTGTCAGCAGGGGGTTGTGCTTCCTGCAGAAGGAGACTTGCAGTGTGTGATGGCTGATCTTCATGGTTCTCCTGATGGATTTACAGTCACCATGGAAACAAAGCTTTCTCAGTGTGGAGTTTTAAGGCTAG